TATATATATATATATATATATATACACACACACAATTGTTGTTTGCTCCCATGCTAGTTACCCAAGAGTTGGTTATGATTTTAAGGTTTGACAGATATGGTCTATTTTATGGGAATGATTATGGTGGATGATACTCCTTATGTTTGTGCCAACCACCCAAGGGTACTCTGAGTTTTGACAGAGCTCACCATGTGTAAGGGTTGGAGTTGTAGTTTTACTTTCATGTATTGCTTCTCTTTACTTCTTAGTTGGGATCAAAGATTAGCGATTCACAATTTGAGACATATGATATATATATATGAGGGTTTCCTTGTTTGGATTATTTTGCTCGATGTACCAGTCTCGTGTTGTGGGTTTCTAATTATTTATTTCCTTTAGATTGTTTATTTTTTAGTTCGGTGTTAATATTTAGGTATCTATAATTTGAGACATATGGTATATACATGAGGGTTCCCTTGTTTTGATTATTTCGCTCGATGTACTACGTCTCGCTTTGTAGGAGTCTAAATATTAGTTATGTTAGATACGGGGGAAATGATGTAGGTAGACTATGCTTAATAGGTAGAGCATTCACTTCATCTAGCAGCCCTTCCATTGGGAACGGATGGAGGTGATCTTGCTGTAGCGCTCCGACGCTCGTGTTGTTTCTCTTTTTCTTTTAAATTTCTTTTCAAACATCTAAGAGCTTCGGAAAGCCGCAGGATGACGGAGTTCTAGCATAGTCACTGTCACATGATTTTACCGTTAGAGGCTCCACTGTAGTTTTGTATTTTCTTTTTTCTAGACATTACATGTGACGCCCCTGGGTTCACACAAGGCTGCAGTCCAAGGTGAAACCAAGAATGTTAAACCTGCCATGTGTGACTTCTGCTCGAGCCAGGAAACGCCTGATGAGTGATGTAACCGCAATGGACGCTCTCATGCTCCTCTGTCAAGCGCCACAACATCTCCCGTGTCACGGCCTGACGCCTGAGCTCAGTCAATGAACGATGCCGAGGAATCTTCGGCAAGTTTAAACCTGCCATGCACCACACCGTGCAATAACATGTTTCACCATCACAATTAACATCTATCTAGTAGAGGCAATAACTTCTGTAGGTACAAAACAGGTAAAAGATAATACAAGATATACTAATGGAATGATAACAGTCACATAAATATCTCATCATCCCACATACAGAAATACATAGCCAAGATCTGAGAAGATAAACTGGAATACTCAACAAGTCTCAAATACAAATATCTGACGAAAAGGAAATAAGACACACAGCCTTTACAACTTCTAGAATAAGACTCTCAAATGTCTAAATAAAAATCTACTGTGGAATTCCAAAAGAAAATATAACTAAAGAGACGGCTGAAGCTAAAATGCATCGCCATCAGTTTACGACTCTTCGTTGTATAAGAAAAATACAGTTAATATATAAGAGATCAAAAATCATTGATCTTACTAAAGAGGGTTTTAGTATTTAGAAATTTACAACACGAGCATAGTTACGTCGAGCGAAATAATCCAAACAAGGAAACCCTCATGTATATACCTTACATCTCAAATTGTAAACTCCTAAATACCAAACCCAAGGTTCTAGTACAGAAAACAATAATAAAAGAGAAAAAAACAGCTAATCTCTGAGCAAAAATACAGTACCATACCATAGCTAACATGAACATCATGTTATTACTTACATGAATATCATATCGAGATTTACATAAGTGTTATGACATAAACTCACATGAGTGACATGTCAGAAAACGATTAAGTGTCCAAAACATAGACTATATAAATTAAACATCCAACTCATGGACTGATTATAACCGTTGTCCAACGCATGGACCGGATGTGACCGTTGTCCAACGCATGGACCGGATGGTAATGTATATCCAACACGAGGATTAAATAGCAATGCATGTCCAACACGAGGACTAAGTGGGAAGGGTGTCCAACACGAGGACTAAAAGGTAATGCTTGTCTAACACGAGGACTGTGGATTTTAGTCCAACACGAGAACTGTGAAATGGTGAAAATATCACTTGGATACGTAGTGAAATCTACCTATATCAATTCACAGTCAAAACAGTGTATATATCCATAATTGGTACCCTCAGGTCTTCTATCATGCCTGGGTACATAGTAAGACCAAATACCAATGTCAGATAGTCCAGGAAATCACTCGAACCTGAACAAATATTCAAAAATGTACAAAACAGGGAAAATACAACAGAGAGTGCTGCGGTCGACCGATTCGGTCGACCGAACTCTGGCACGAGCCTGGCGGTCAACCGCTAGGCATCTCGGTCGACCGACCAGACGTCGCGGTCGACCGAATAAACGTCACGGTCGACCGAACAAACTTGGCGGTCGACCAAAGCCCTAAAACGAGCTCAGCGGTCGACCGCTCCGGTCGACCGCCAAGCGGACAGAAACCCATATCTGAGTTTCTGTCAGCTAGAAACCTGAGACAAAAATTCTTTGTTAAACAAAATCTAACTTGAAGAGGTGTCATGAATCAGTAAAATCGTGAAAATAAACCTTTAAAACTTTGCCACCAAGATTCCATAAATGTATAAACATGATTTACTCATCGTTAATAATAAAAACAGGGTTTTTACTCCTTTCCTAGGTATTTTCAGATCTAGATCTGTTAACAGAAAACGTTGGTGAGTTTTTTAAAACAGATAAAATCCCAAATCCATATTC